CACCCTTGGACCTTGGAGCCCAAGGGGCCGCTGCGCTGTCAGTGAAGGGGCCCTGGTGGTGGGGATCCCTGCGGTGGCAGCCCCATGACTGACAGTCCAGACACAAAGCCCCGGGCTGCCCCCGGGGGCTCGGGGCCCAGCCGACCTGTGACAAGTGCCAAAGGTCACGGGCTCAAGGATGGGTGGGCTCCCGGGCCGGCTCAGCTGGATGCCGACTGCGGACGGAGGCAGAGCCGCACACTGGCAGGCCAGGAGTGGGCCCAGCACAAGAGCTGGCAGGGCCCCAAACTGCCAGGCCTGGCTTGTTGGGGCTCGGGGGTGCCAAGCGTAGGCGGAAGACGGAGGTCCCTCGGCCATGCGGGTGCCCCCATGGAGTACAGGCCCCTGGCCAGGGGCCTTGACGGCCCTTTGCCTAAACATCCCTTGTCTTAAAGCAGATCACTTTCTTTTGTTGAAAAGGTGTAGATACTTCTATATATATTTGTATGGGACTCTGAGAAGGTGAAAGCCTGTGTATATTTTGCATTTGTACTATTGATACTGGGAGACCCGTGGGATGATCTCTCACTATTTTTTTTATACAAGGAAGATTGCACAGTTGTACTTGAACCTGGAGTGCGTTGATGCAGCTGGTGTCCCGGCAGATCAGAGTGGGAAGTGCGTGGGGAGCGAGTTGGTCCTCGAACAGAGGTTCCTGCCGCGGGGCCCGGCCAGGAAGCAGGGAGCGTGTGGGCACCATGCGCAGCCGCCTGAATTCCCAGTGCATGTTTCTGAGATGTGTGCCCCCCGCTCCCAGCCGCCCCGACCATGGTGGATCGGAGACAGGGCAGCCTGGGACGGGGCAGGACTTGAGGAGCCCCCCTCGCTCCCGCCCCGCTGAGGCTGGTGGAGAATGCGGGTGCCCCACGGCCATGGTGGAGGCACTGACCGTGACTTAGCACTGGCCCTTCCCTGGCCGCCCCGCCCCCACCCCGGGCCCACGCTCGGCCTGTGGGGCTTCCCTGGCCCCTGGCCCAGTTGGTGTGGTACCGCAGGTGGGGACGTCTTTTGTTCCCTCTGCTCCTGTTCCCGGTGGGATTGTACAGTGTTCACAACTTTCCGATCCAGACGGAGGTGTGAGGTCTTCCGGGATGTCACAGTCCTTCCTGCCAAATTTTCCAGCTCTTTTAGACTCTGAGGATCCCCAGGCAGGCTGGGGCCCCACCCCCCGAGGCCGACCAATGACTTCATTTTGCTTCAAATGGCCAATTGTGCAGAGGGACAAAGCCACGGCCACGCTTCTCAGTGGTTACCAAGCTGTTTTTTGGAAGCTCGTACTGAGGAGCGGCCGTGCCTGGCCCGCGGTGGGCAGTTGGTGCGGTGTGGCCCCAGGGGCTGTGGCATGGGGCCCAGAATGACTCAGACACGTCTCGTTCCAGTGTTGCCTTTGTTCTTCAAATCAGGCACCCAAGTACGTGACTAGCACAGCTGCTTCCAAGTACGAGAAACCATAAAATAGGAAGAAAATCAAGTCAAATGTGAAGATTTCTGCGCCATATTCGGATGGAAATGTGAGCACTGTTAGGACCACCCCGGGAACAGCAGCTGTGAGGCGGCTTTGAGGCCACACACCTCACACGGGAGTGAAATGAGACCCCGGGGTCCGCATGCGGGAATGAATTATAAATGTGCCTTAGTGGGTGAGTGGCCGTCTGGGGACGGAAGAGGGTCTTCAGAGGTTTACCCCTGACGAGACCTCTTCTAAGTAAAAAAGTTTGAATACCCTCGAGTCAGAAGCCCCCCACCTTCGCGTCCTCACTTCTGCAGCTGGGTCCTGCCCCTTGGGGTGCGGTTTTCAATCTGATCAGAATCGTTACCAAAAAACAACTGTCCGTTTTATTAAGACAGGAAAATACATTGTAAACCTATTTTTGTGACTTAAGACTTTATGAGAAATGAGACACTGGAGATTTTTTTTTAACAAATGTCTATTTATTAATGTTCGGAACACTGGAATTACAACACAAGAAAAGAGTCTGCAATAAATTAAGAGCTTCGAGTTTGTGCTTCTCTGTGCTGTTGCCCCGCCCCCTCCCTGAGCCAGCCGTGGCGGCCGTGAGCGGGAGGCAGAGCACAGGCCCCGGGGAGAGGAACTGTCCCGGAACTTTGTGTGCACCCTCCCGACGCAGTTGGGATGAGCAGGCCATTCGGGGTTCGGGATCTTCAGCTCTCACCGTGTGTCCGGCACCAGCCCTGGGCCCTTCCCTCGGGATCTGGGCACGTGGGGCAGTGGCGGGGCCTGGCAACGGGGACGGGGACACGTCTCACTCCTCAGCTCCAGCCCCTCCAGCCTGCCCCAGGGTCTCCTGAAGCCCAAGGCGCCAGCACAGGGCAGTGGGAGGGGCCAGAGTCCCAGCTCACGAACTTGGCCCTCTGGCGGACAGCTGACGCAATGCACCAAGTGGCCTCGCGCAGTTGGCTGGTGGCCCCAGGGGCACACGGAGGGCCCACCAGGGGGAGGGTGGCGCCGCCGGCTGGAAGGCTGCCATGGGCCCCGCCACAGGTGGAGCCTGGGTGACCCGAGCGGCCACCGGGCCAGCTGGGGGCCTGGCACTGGGCTGGCAGGACCGGCAGCCTCCCCTCCGCCGCCCTGTGCTGGACACTTCCACCGGGCTGCCCTTCCCCCCCGTTCCCGCTGCCGTTCCCCCGGGTCAGCCTTGCACGGAGCAGGGTGGGGCGCTGGGGCGCCTTCCCAGCAGGACGAGAGGCCCAGCCACCAGGGCGGTGAATCGGGAGCCCTGAGGCCCGGGAGGCTCCATGCTGCCCCGTGAACCGGCAGAACATGGGCGGGGTTCCAGCCCCTCCCTGCCTCCACGGCCAGCCTCGCCAGCCTCCGCCGCCTGGCACAACGTGCAGAGTGATGCAGAACAGTGGCCGGCCTCCCAGCCTGGGCAGGGCAGGCCCGAGCCCCCCCACCTCGCAGGGCCTCTTTATCTGGATCAGCTGCCACGTGGCAGGCCAGAAGGCCCGACCCTGGATGCTCGGGCCCCCTCCCCGCTCCTTCCAGCCCCGGAAGCCTCCTGCTGGGTGGGGAGAAGGCAGACCTAGGCCAGGGCTAGTGTAAGGAGCAGGGACGGGGATCCTGATCGTGACTGAGAGGGACCACGTTCATCCTGCCTCTGGAAAGGGGGGCTGGCACCTAGTTCTCAGCCCCACACAGCGGCCTGGTCTTAAAGCCCCCAACGGTGCAGCCTGTCACCCCCCACACAGGGTCCCACTAAACCAGCGGTGGGGCCCAGCCCACCTCACGCCCTTTGCCCCAGGCTGGCAGGGATGGGGTGCCAGTAAGGCCAGTCTCGCCGGCAGGCTGCAAGCACCACACGAGAGCCAAGGCAGGTGCCAAGTGGGGTGAGAGGTCCGGGCCTCCCTTCCTGGCTGCATGGGTGGGGGGGGCGGGGGGGCCCGCTCTGCTCTTCGGAGCACTGCATGCTGATGCGCGGGGAGATCCAAGGGCAGCAGGACCCCATCTGGACAAAGGTCTTAGTTGTCCACTCCTCCTCCCGAGCCCGCTACACAGGCTAACACTTGTCCGTGCCTCTGCCACCATACCCACCCCACAGCCCACGTGGTCCCTCGTTCCCTCCCACCTGTACCTTAGGCCGGAGGGATTTTCTGCCCAAACCACCTGCCTCCCTCCTGTTCAGAAGGAAGTCCTCCTCCCACTGTAGTGCTCTGGGGCCGTGGTGCCCGTCACCCAACTTTGGGCTCCTCCCTTGTAGTCTGGGGCCTGTGACCTGCCTCTGGGAGTGGGGAGGGGGGGCCCTGGATGCCTGGCACCCAGACCCAGGGCTAGCCCTGTCACCATCGGAGGCCTTGAAGGCTGGGGGCCACGGGACTACCTTCCCAGGTGCTCCTCCAGCAGCACTGTGCCTGGAGGCCTAGGCTACTTCTGGTCTAGAACCTTCTATCCACAGGAGACAGGGCACCATACTTCTGGCCCCCACAGAAGCCTGGCTTGAAGCACTAGCGATGTGCTGGGTGTGAGGCTGGTGAGAGAATGCAGCCCAAGCTCTGTCCCCGGCACCCAGCCCCCACCTTCAGGGCAGGCGAGTTGGAGGCTGTGGGGCATGCAGACACAGCCTGCCCAGGAAGGCCAATTTCCTGTCTGACCCAGATGCCACCCCCAGCCCCCGCCCCACACGCACTGAGGAGACTGAGCCCGTGCCTCTGCGTACGGCCTACGGCAAGGCTTGGCGGAGCCCTTACAGGGCTCCGAGGCGTCACTCAGGGACTCCGCGGCTGCAGGGCCACAGGGTGCCGCCCACGCAGCACAGCTGGCCCTGACCTTCTGCATTCTCCTCTGCCAAGCAGCTCCCAGCCTGGCCTGCTGCCCTCTCGCCACAAAATACACATGCACACACACCGTGCTGGGGGCTGAGCATCCCCCCAACACTCCTCCGGGGAAACCCTAAATCCCTGATGTGATGGTGTGAACACAGGAGCTCTCTGGAAGGCACTTGGGTCGTGAGGGTGGAGCCCTGGGGGATGGCACGGTGTGAGGCCCCAGAAAGACCCCTCGCCCCTCTGGCCGTTGAGGACGTGGCGAGAAGATGGCCATCGGCGAACCACAGAGGGAACCTTGGGGGACCGCGCCGGCGCCCTGAGCCCGGACTTCTGGTCTCCTCGGCCGTGAGACACAAACGCCGTGGTGTGTAAGCTGCCCCGCAGCGAACGGACACACCCGCCGAGCCCCACCGGACTGGGACAAGGCCCCTCAGTCCTCCTAGTTTCCCTGTGACCGCAGCCAGGGCACCGGGCACTCTGCAGGGGGAAGAATGGCCTCCGCGCGGCCGCACCCCCTCACACACCCACACTGCACCCCTGCGGGCCGGGACTCGCTCTCCGACACAGGTGAGCGAGGGAGGGCATGGCGGGAACGGGGGAGTGGGGCTGGCGCCCCTCTGCCCAAGCTGTGCACCGGAGGCCGGCTCCCTCCCCAGGAGAGTCCGGCAGACTCTGTGTCCCAGACACTCGTTTTATTGGATGCCGGCCCTGCAGCCTCCTCCGAAGTGTGCCTGTGTGCTTGCGGGTGGGAAGCCTTCCCTGGGGCACGAGAGAGCAACTCTACAGACGGGGCACTTGGGACCCACCCACTAGGCAGCAAGTCCTTCTGGTCAGAGCACAGCACGGTGGAGAAGACAGGGCAGGCCTTTCTGGGGCTCTCCCAGGCTCGGGAGGCTTGCCGGAACCCTGGCCAGGCAGGCTAGAACTGGGGCAGCAGACTCAGCCAAGCTCCCCCCCACTGCTCCCCCCCAGGCTCTGCTCCTCCGTGTTTGCTCCTGGGCGCTCGGCAGCAGCTCGGCCTCCTTCAGAGCGTGGGGCCCAGCCGTGGGCCATCGCTGGGGCCATCGCCGGGGCCCTCGGTGGCCACTCTGGACTTGCTCTTGCCCTTCTGGAGTATGTAGGCGGATGGCCCCAAGCGCAGGATTTTCCCGCTGCCCAGACACTCACCCGCTTTGTAGAAAACGGCAAACTAAAAAGGAAAGAGCCGTGTCACCACAGTGGGCCCGGCGCCGGGTGCCCACCAGCAGCCAGGAGTGTGGGTCCGTAGCTGTTGGGCTGGGGGGGGTGGGGGGCAGGCCCAGACAGGGCAGCTGGGCCCTCCCAGCATCAAGCAGGAGCAGGTTATCACTGGTGCGGCTGGGAGGGGCATGCCGGGTGCAGGGGTGGGGGCACAGCTTCCACCCTCACTGGCTGTGTGAGCCGCACACCCACACCGCACCTCGGCGCCCCCCCACCCCGTAAACTGGGTGCTCTGGTGGGGAGGAAGTGCAGTCCATCCTTCCAGAGCACAAAGCCCACTGACTAGAGCTGTCTCTCGGCCACACAGGCCCTGGCGAGGGGCAGCTGAGCACATGCTTAAGCCCATCTCGTGCACGAGGCCCGGGCTCCAGGCCACAGACAGACGTGGTGTGAGGCCTGGTCCGACCTTCCAGCCGGGCTCCCCCACCTCCCTCTGCAGCACGGGGCACTCACCTGTCCCGGGGCCAGGGCCCGCACGGTCTTCACAGCCGTCACCCACACGGTGCCGTCTTGATTGAGGGTCAGCACACAGGGCACTGGGTGAAAGAGAGGGGTCCTTGGCGGGGGCACTGGCCTTTCCACGTGCGGCCAGCCCCAGGCCTCGCCCCCCGGGGGGATGGGAGGAGCACCAGGCAGCAGGGGCCACAGGCAGAGGGGCTCCACCCCACTGCTGCCAGGCCTGCACCTCCCGGATGCGTCCTGCACGGCGGACGAGGAAGGCCACGCGGGCCTCAGCGCCTCCCAGTGCCGGCTCCCAGAGAAGGCAGGCGGAGAGGGGGTTACGAATATGTTTTGCAACCTGAACAGTGGGGGACGCTCCTGCCCCAAGTCTAATGACTGCTCCTACCCTGGCTCCTCTGGCCTCCTACCAGGCTCCCCTGAAGGGGCCCTCCCGCTCAGTCACCTAGCGCCATCTGGTGGCGGAACCGGAAGTGGCACTCCATCATTTTGTCCCGGACCAGGGCGGCGGGCGGCTCCTCCGCGATCCAGTGCACGCGGCTGGTCCGCAGCAGGTCCCTGTACAGAGCCGGGTGGTCTGTCCGGGGGGCCTGCGGAGCGGGATGTGCACGTCAGGACGCGGAAGCCCTCAGCGGAGGGGCCCCCACCCCAAGCTGCCCGGCGGCGCTTCATCAGTAGCAATCCCAACAGCAGGTGGCTGCTAGCTACGGTGTCGGCCCCAGAAACGCACGGGACCGTCCCACGGCCTCTGCTCCCCGTTCTGCACACAGGAGGAAACTGAGGCACAGGAGGGAAAGGGTCTTGTCACGGTCCCCAGCACTCGGCCTGCCGCACCTGCCCAGGCAGGGCCCACCACGCTGCTGGCCTGTCTCAAAAAGGTCACCGCAGGAAGCCCATCAAACACCAGTGGCCGGGGAAAGAAGAGACAGTGTCGGCGCCCCGGGGCTGTGCTGCGGCCATCTGCCTCAGGCCCCCGTCCCCAAGGCCCAGGCAGGGATACCCACACATGGGGACAAATGTCAGGTGATGACCCTCCTGGTTTTTCTCAAGGCAAGAAACACCACTGAAATTTTACACTTTAACCACTTTAATTCATGCATGACCACAATCCCTGTCCAGGCTGTGATGCCCACGGCTCTTCTTGGAAGGAGATGTCCCCGAATCAGTAGGTGAGGTGTGCTGGCCACTCTGTGTCTAAGAGAGGGTCCTCCAGCTTTGTGAGCGAGCACCCAGCTCTCCTAGGGCAGGGTCTCTCAACCTTGGTACGACTAAGATGGGAGGCTGGGTCGTTCTGTTCGGGGGTGGGAGCTCTCCTGTAGGATGGCAGCAGCCCCCCGGCCTCCACCCATCGGGTAAGTGGGGACACTGCCGAGTGTCCCGGGGGTGGGGGTGAGGGTGGGGGGACAGGGCCAACTCACTCCCTTAGCGAAGCCCTGCTCCAAGAGCCCAAGGATGGGATTCAGGGTCACAGGGGTTCAGGTCACTGGCCCGCAAACGGCTCTGGTCCCGGCTCGGCTGCTTCCGTCTGTTCAGCAATGGCCTGCTGGAGCCATGAGCCAGCCCTGTCCTAAGCACTGAGGGACCTTCGGCCTCTTGGCGTAAAATCAGAAAAATAGGATCTATTCACAGCCGTTAACATCATGATCACCAGAGTGACCAACGTACGGTAAGACCCTGATAAGTACCTTCAACAAAATCCTTCTGGTACCTTGGGGGCCAATCCCAGGAGGACGCAGAGGGAAGGCAAGGCTGGTCCATCAATCACTGCTGTTCTGTAGGGCTCCACCAGCCCTGCCTGGTCTCACAGACACTGCTGGCTCTGCCAAAAACAGACCTCCGTCACCTGTCTAAAAGGCCAGCCCGACTCACCACAAACACGTCGCCCTTGGTGCCGTCCTTCTCCACCACATACCAGGGCTCCCGTAAGCCGCCTATCTTGGCTCTCTGGCCCAAAGTATACAGGAACCAACCTACGGAAATAATGGTTTCTCAGGGAGCCGGCACCAGCTCCATCTCAAACACCATCCCCCTCTTAACGGGGAGCAGAGCATGGGGAGCAGGGGGCAGCAGTTGGGAGGCCACCGAGGGGTAACAAGAGGGGCTGTGTGCTCCCCCCGCGAGCCTCGGCCCTGATCTTGTCCGGGCCAGGTCAGGCTGCACCTCGCATCCTGCCAGGAGCCGTGCCAGCTGCCGGGCCACCTAAACCATCGGCCGCAGGGACCACTCCTGCAGACCGTGGACGGGGTATCGTTCAAAGCCCTAAGCCCCCTCCTGTTGAGCCTCCAGGAGCCCCTCTGACGGACGAACCGCACGGGGGCTGTGGCACCACTTCTCTGCGCACCCCCGCCCCCAGCCCAGAGGAACAGCCCTATAGCACAGAGGAGACAAGCTGAGGGGATCTCATCCTGCTGGAGACAGGCTGGGAGCACCCTGCGGGCCTGTCCCCAGCAAGGCTGCCCCCTCCTCCCGTCTCAGAACACCTGGAGCTTCTCTGCTTGGCTCCCCAGGAGCCCAGGACAGCCAGTCCAGCTCCCCCAACAGGAAAGAGAAGCCACCTGCCCAAACTGGGCTGGGGGGTTCCAAAGAACCATCTGTGAGACTGTCCATGCCTGCGTACCAGCCCTTGTCCCCCCAGCAGGCCAGGCGCGTTCTGGGCCAAGACCTACCTGGTCACCAGCCCCCGAGGGCTTCTCCGGTGCCCCGAGGGCACAGGCCCACCACTCACCAACCCACCATCTGCCCTCCCGCTGAGCTGCGAATGCTTGGGCCTGATTTGTCGCAGCCTCTCCACACCAGCCCAGGGCAAGTTCATGCAGTACGCCCCCCCCCCAATATCTGCGAACAATCAAGCAGCACCCCAAGTGCCACACCCCTGCCTTATGGGGACACCCTCTGGTCCTGTCTCTTCCTCGTCCTAGATCTGGAAGCTCCCATTCTGAAATCAGTCATGCTTCCTTCATCAGGTGAACCTTTCTGTGTCCTCATGTTTTCTTTTTCTACAGCGAGAGAGTAATTTTATTTGCAGGAACACAGCACTCAGAGATCAAGGTCTTTCTGAATCGGAGGGCATCCCTCTTTATGAGCTTCCAGGCTTCACGGAGACCACGTACAACACTGGCCACCACGCTCGCTCGCGCTACCCGCGACCCCCGCCCACAGGCTTCTCAGACTCACTCGCGGACACGGAAGGAATTACAGGTTTCTTGTCTGAAACTCACGCCACGACTCAGGAAGTTTAGGACGAAAAGCAGCCTGAGGTTGTGTCTCACCTTTGTGTGTTCCCAGAACTTTATTGTCTTCTATAGAAATAAATTTACCAGGTCGAGGCTGTAAATACTGAAAAACAAGCATTTCCTTACTAATGGATCCAGGTCCAGAGCAAAAATGTGGCTCCATTCTTTTGCCTCAAAGAACACACTCACCTGAAGGATGAAATTTTCAAAATTTCTTTTACCAACGAAACAGATGCCCATGCTCTGAAACAAAAGGAAAGCCAACAGTGAGGAGAGTGAACAGGCAGGAGGTGTCCGCACGAGAACAAGCCAGTGCCGGGAGGACAGGAGGCTGCGCACCCCGGCCTCCCCGGGCCTCCCCACGCTCCTGGGTCGCAGGCCTGGCTTTCCTTGGCCAAGGGACCACAGACACCAGCCGTGCCCCACCAACGGACCTCGAGGGGTTTCAGAGCATCTCAAGGGGTCTGCTTCAGGCCCCCAACCTGGGATCTGGTGAGTAAGCAAGGCCACCCCACGTCTACCCCGGCAGGAGAGCGAGCCAGAGCTGTGCGGGCCCTTCAGACCACCGTCAATGAGCCGCGGGCTGGGAAGGAGAGGAGCTGGGCCAGACCCGAAGCATCCGCAGGAGAGTCGGAGGGAGAGGGCTCCCTCAAGGTGATCTACTCTAGCCCAGAAGACGGGCTGGAACGCACACTCCACCACTGCTGTTCCTGTCATATGGAGCGCTCACCTGCCCTGCTTGCGTCTCTCAGCTCCCAGCGCAGAGCCACACCCAGAAACCGAACAGGTAGACAGAGAGACAGACATGATGGGTGGATGGATGCGAGAAAGGATGTCTTCCTTGGGGACAATGACTTGCTGATAAAAAAAGCAAGGTCATGCTCGTTCCCAGGAAGACAAAAATGAAGCAGCAGCCTCAGCTGAAGGCGACCCAGTCCCTGATGTGGCCCGACCAGACGGAGCACGCCTGGACTGTCCTGTAGCACCAGACCCCCAGCACGCGGGCTTCCCCGTCATCCCAATGCCCAGGCTCTCCCTACCTCGGGGCCTTCACACACGTCTTCCCGCTGCCGGGACAACTCCCCAAAACCGTCTTTGTGACACTAAATCCTATTCATCCTGAGGCCTTACGGTGGATTAAGTGTTAACTCCTCGGAACCCGTCTTTTTCCCACGGTACGTTTTGTGTCTGTCTCTCCCTCCTGAGACCTCCAGGAAGGCAGGAATGAGGAACCCGTGCGCTCCTCACCCTATCCTCAGGGGCCAGCAGCACAGCACCCAGTACAGGAAGGCCCTCGACAAGGAGGGGCTGGACGAATGCGTGAAAACAGCAGATGTGCGTGCAAGCAGCGACAGAGCACGGGCTGGGGCGTCTCGGGGCCCGGGCCTTCCCGCGCCGCCCTCCCCCAGCAGGCTGGGCCAAGAGCACCCCAACGAGCTCGCCAGGTTCCTCTGAAAGCTGCTCACCCCAGAGCAGGGCCGAGGAGGGGACGGGGGGAGAAATCGCGTCGGAGCGGTTCTCAGCGGCCAACGGCACGTCCTACCGCGTGCGTCAGCCGGGCTCTGTCCTGACGCTGGCTCCTGGGGAGGAAGTGCCCAGACAGGGCCCCGCTTCCCCGCAGACCACGGCCACGGTGCCGCCAGCGTACCCCCCTCCGTCCTACCTCCTTCTTCTGAAGCACGTGATGCAGTCTATTCTCAGCAGCTATTTTCTTGACAAAATCTTTCGTTAGCCCCCCCAGAGGGAAGAGGGTTCTCCTCAGGGCATCTTGGGAAACCTGGCTGAGAAAGAAGGTCTGGTCTTTAAAGCTGTCAGCTGCTTGAAGAAGTTTTACCGCTGCCAAGAGTAAAGAACAAAAGATGTTGTGGGCGTAAACATAACGGTACTTGGCTCTGAATCACGTCCTTCTATTACATTACCCCTGGTTTGTCAGAAGCAGAAATCAATACTCAGAAGCAGACCACTAGGAAAAACAAACAATCCCCCTGCTTCAGGGGAGGAAAGTTCTCACCCCCAGTCTATTTACTGGTAAGAACAGTTTTATGTGATCAGGAAGCTTATTCTAATTCCCACCGTGGGTCACAGTATTTTACAGACGAAACACCGCACACACCTGCTCTGAAGAAGGGACGTGAAAACCAGCCTAAGATACATGCAGCCGAGCGTGAGAAAGCTGGACAAGAGGACCCCCAAAGAACCCTGGGACCAGGGGCAGCTGCTCCCCACACCCCCCACCTTCCCAAGTCCGACTCCAGCTACAGTGCCTCTCAACTGGTTTCCTTTCTCAGGAAAGCGGGTTTTGTTCAGAGTCATGCAGACGTCTGTCTGACTCTCCCCCGCGATCTCCCGGATGCCCACCTCCACTGTAAAGAACCACTTCTGGCTCAAAGGCCACGGTGCACAGGTGTGACTGCCCTTGGCCCTGTGACACTGGGTCAGAGAAGGCCCGGCTCCACCGCTGGGCAACATCAGACCTGCCTGGCCCGCATGCGCCAGGTTGGCCACGATTGCAAGCACCAGGCTCCCCAGTGTCAAGTTCAATGAGCCACGGGAAAAGCCATGGGGGCTTTCAGTACCGTGGCTCCTTCCAACATCTCTCGGATGCAGTGCTAGGAGAGGCCACCGCACGGCACCCTCAGAGCGTGCTGTGTGTGTGGTGGGGTCCACACGACACACGTGTGCCTGTCAGCTCGCACCGTCGCGTGCGGAACATGGGCTCTGGGGAGGGAATGTTCACCACCCGTGACCTCAAATGTGATTCTCACTCTAGCAACGGGAGGTTTCATCACCCCCATTTTACAGACGAGGAAACTAAGGTTGAGATCGTTGAAGAGGCTCCACAGAACAGGTGCGGCCTAAGTCCTAGTCGGTCCCTCCCTATGTGCAGAGCAACGCGACCAGCCGAGAAACGGACAACAGCCAGTCATCAGGCAGGCAGACGTGTCTGCCCAACGCTACTTTTTGTTTCAAAAGGAAGCCCAGTCAAGCAGCGCGGATGGAGGCCTCAGGACACAGTTTAAAACAGACTCCAAATCTGGGGCGTCTGGGTGGCTCAGTCGGTGAAGCGTCTGCCTTCGGCTCAGGTCGTGATCTCAGGGTCCTGGGACCGGGCCCCATGTCGGGCTCTGCTTCTCCTCTGCTCCCATTCATGCTCACTCTCCATCTCTGTTGCTATTTGTCTCTCTCTCTCTCAAATAAAATCTTTAAAAAACACATAAATATAAATAAATAAATAAACAAATAAACAGATTCAAAATCTTTTTTTTTTTAAAGAGGCTGGCAATCTTTTTTTTTTTTTTTTTTTTAAAGATTTTATTTATTTGACAAAGAGTTAGGAAGAGCAGGAACACAAGCAGGGGGAGTGGGAGAGGGAGAAGCAGGCTTCCCGCGGAGCAGGGAGCCCGATGTGGGGCTCGATCGCAGCGTCCTGGGATCATGACCTGAGCTGAAGGCAGACGCGTAAGGACTGAGCCACCCAGGCGCCCCAGGAGGCTGGCAATCTTAAACCATGGAAAGGAACTCGCTCCGGGGGCTTCATTCACACACCCTCACAGCTCTGTCCGCGGTCAGGTCGGCGCCACGCCCCCTTCACACACCCTAGTCAGGATGAGCCTGACTAGGCCGCCAGGCCCGGGCCCAGGAGCGCCGACCAACCCAGGCGGGCTCTGTGCTGCCCCGTGTGCACTGCCCCGCCTGCCCTCTGCCCAGGGATCCAGGCCCAGGCCGGGAGGCCCTAGTCCAGGTCTCTAGCGCAACTAAGTAAGAATTAAATAAAAAGCTCTCGTGTGCCTAGAAAACATGCTGAAAACAAAGACACTGTTGTATTACTACCACAACTACACGTTAAAATGACTCAACAAAACATCCGTCAATGTGATGAGAGAAGTTTCAGAGCACCTATGGCCTAGCATAAAGGTCCAGACAGCTCTGGAAAGCAAACCATTTTCTAGAAGATAAGCATGTCTATTCAATTTGGAAATAAATCCTTTAGCCACTCAGGACCCTTAAATCCGTATTTACTTGGTGCATCCTGCTGCGGAGTTCTCAAGTGGCAGGACTCTGCATCCTTCCTGACACGGAGAGGTGGCCCCCGGGAGCACCCGGGAGGGAGGCCGAGGAAACCTGTCCTCTCTCCCTGCATCTGTCCCTGAGGCCCTGGCAGCAAGCCCGGCGGCTAAGGGCCCAGCGCCCCACAGGCAGCAGAGGGAGACCTTCCCACCAAGCAAACACTGTCCCTGTCTGTGCTCAAGGCGGGAAGGTTATCTGAGCACCCTCTGCTGTGAAAACAGGGGTGGGGACGAGACCTGGGCAGCCGAGCGCCTGCAGCACCCTCGGGGCTCCCGCAACACAGCGGACTGCACAACCAGGCTTAGTGACACGGAGGACAGAACTCGACCGGGGCCTGGCCCAGCAGAAAGGGCACAACTATGGAGCTGGGCCAAACTGCGCTGAGAGCCAGCTCTGCGGCCACATGGAGCCCAATCAAATGACTCCACGCCTCAGTCCCCTCACCTGTGAAGTGGGGCGAGTGCATCCAGCTCCACGCTCAGATGGGCCAAGCAGAACACGTGCCTGTCACAGCCATGCTCAGGGGAGAGGGGCAGGTGCCATGAGGCAGGCGGTCAGCAGGCCAACCCTCCGGCGATCCCACAACAATGGAAACTCCTTGCTCAGACGTGGCTCTGAGCTCCCTTCACAATGATGTGAATTCCTCTCTCCTACACACAAACGTACACCGGACAAGCCAGCAGCATCCCTGCTGACAGCTGGACATTTTTCTAGAAAGGTGAAACTTGACTCCCTCTAACACCGAGAAACTGATTTGTACCCATAATCCCTGTAAACATGTTTTCCAGTAGGCCTGAGTGTCAGGCCCCGGCAACTGGGTGACACTGAAGTACATACACCTCAGTGTCGAGCCCTCAAGAACTTGATGGTAAGCGACAAGGCCTGTGAGCGCTCCAACTATCAACAACTGTGTCCTCAAATATAGGAACCTTCGAGTGAGTAGCAGAGTGTAAGGAGCTGGGTTAGAAATCACAGGAGCAGGTTCCAACCAGGCTCTACGGGGAGGTGGCCCTCCTGGTAACTGTAGTTTTCACAACCAGCAAGCTAGTGCGGAAGACACGGAGACGCGGAGGGAGCGCTCGGCCAAGGACCCGCTGCCGCGCTCCAAAGCAGTCTCCTCTGCACCAGTCCTGAAGGTCTGACCCGGGTGCTCTAACTTACCATTTCTAACTTCAAATCGATTTCTGAAAAGCCCTTCTGGCCTCCTCATGTGCTTCTGCTGAAAGACTTCCTCATCCTCCAGGGAGGTTCTGGCGTAGTGACCTGTGGCGACGGCGTCCGCTCCTGTCAGGTTTTTAAAAACACAAGATCAAGCTTCAGACCTGCACGTGTGGCCGTGGCCACCTCGGGCCTCGGGAGCTCTCAGAAGCGGGCAGACAGCAAGCCTTGTACTGGATGGCCCGCACCGACTGTCCAGCTCCCTCTCAAATACAGAGGTCCAGGGCAGGGAAGCCGCCCCCAACATTCTGATCAACAGGTGGCCTTGGATTCGCCATATACATGGATACAACCTCGCTACAAGGTTTCACTGCAGCTTTATGATCCTTTCAAAAGTTAGTATCCATCCACTCATTCACTCTAGCTTAAGGAAACAAATAGGCACACAAAGATTTAAGCGTAAAAAGCTCACTTCAGTGTTTCCTATACTAAGGAAAATTGAGAACACCAAAATGTTCACCACCTGGAGAACATAAAGTTAAAAATGCCACTGCCCTAAGAACAGCACCACTTACGAGGAATTTTTCACGGTGTTGTTAAGTAGGGAAAAAAATATGTAACACTATGATCCCACTTTTTTTAATGTACAGAAAAAGATTAAGAAAAATATGAAGGGGCGCCTGGGTGGCTCAGTTGGTTAAGCAACTGCCTTCGGCTCAGGTCATGATCCTGGAGTCCCGGGATCGAGTCCCGCGTCGGGCTCCCTGCTCAGCAGGGAGTCTGCTTCTCCCTCGGACCCTCCCCCCTCTCATGTGCTCTCTCTCTCTCATTCTCTCTCTCAAATAAATAAATAAAATCTTAAAAAAAAAGAAAAAGAAAAATATGAAAAAGCCCATTTCTTTGATTCTGGGAAGTGAAATGATAGGCGCTATCTCCCTATTTTCCCTCTGCTGTCATTTTGAACTTTCTCTAATAAACACACATTATTTCCACCGCAGTGAAGGACCATCCAGCATATTCCATTTCTTCTCTCCCCTTTATGCAAAAAAGCAAAAGAACCTACAAAGGCACATATAAGCTCATAACCTTTCCCTGTGTGAACATTTCAGATATTCAGTATTGCAAGAGACTTGTTCCTGGAAGGGGCAACAAACGGAGTCTGTGCCTCACCCACTAGACTAGCTCAGTGTACGACAAAAGATGCAATGAAAATTAACTGTTGAGGGCGCCTGGCTGGCTCCGTTGGAGGAGCGCGTGCTGAGCCGGGTGCTCTACCCTACCACTGTCCTAATCTTGGGGTCATGAGTTCAAGCCCCACGCTGAACGTAGAGGCTTATTAAAAAAAAAAAAAAATGAAGTAAAGGTTTTACCTATTAAAAAAACAAACACAAAAAGGGAAGTTCTAGTAATACTGGTCTGACATGGAAGCCATCAGCCCCAGCTGAAACAAGCAGAAACCACCTCTGCACAGGAGTGGGCTCTCCCGTTGGCCATACGCATTCCCCACCCTGAGGCAAATTCTTAGTGGGAAGGTTAAAAAAAAAAAAAAATTAACTTGTGTATGAACTACCAGAAAAGGCACATTTGGGAACACATTATTATATCTTGATTGCTTTTCAGAGAGAGGAAAAAAAAAAAACAAACCTTCCTTAAATCTATTTCCTTAAAGAACGACCACTTACCCTGCCAAGCACTGAGTCCCTCTGGGAGAAGCCCCAGGATCTCAGGGTCTAGGTTTCATGTACTTTCACTCCATGCTGCACTGCTCACGCGGGAATTCAGACGTGGAAACACTCCCTGTGCAACCTCCTTCTGAAGCGAACCCAACAGACGGCCGCCTAGGGCTGGCTCCCTGAGAAGCTAAGGCAACCGGGAGCCCCTCTCTCTCCAGAGGGAGGTGTCACCCCTCCTGCAGAGCTGGCTGCGCCCCATCCAAGTGCAGTCCTTCTCCTGCACAGCCAGGCTCTGTCCTGCGTGGCAGGCACGCAAAGGAGGCCACTCACCGGGCATGAGGACCCCCCGTAATCGCACGGCTCATCCGAGGTCCTGTCTCCTAACACCCAAAACCAAAGTCACTGCCCAAGTCATGAGCCTGTCACTCCCTTCCTGAATAAATGGGAGCTAAGTGTAAGCCCCCCAAACGTGGCCCCCCCAGAGCAGGGCAGGTGCCTTTCTTTCCTGACACCCCCGACCACCAGGTCATGCCAGACCGCAGGCAGCTGGACCCCCCAGATCTGCTCCCCAAGCTCGGAGTACGACCTCCCTCGGAGTATGACCTCTACCAATGCTCAGTTCTGGGGTCAGTCATTCAAATGCACCCAGACTTCTGGAGCCTTCGTCTGGCAGGTGTCAATGTGGTCTGTGGCCCAGCGTGTCCCCTCCCCATTGGCAGGGCCCTTGTGCACGGGGTCTGCAGGCCTAGTGGGGGCCTGCCTCTGTCACTGCAGCAGAGCTGACCGGACAGAGCAGCGAGCGAGGCAGCGTCAGGGAGCCCCACCAAGGACAGGGATGCCCCAGCAGGCAGACAGAGAGGAGAGAGAACCAGTAGGACAGACAAAAATCTGCAGGTAGCTGTCAGTAGGGAGCAGGGCCTCGACGGGCTTTGAGAACAGACCACTAGGGGCACCAGGGGCGGGGAGGGGGGGTGGCTCAGCCAGTGAAGCGTCTGCCTTCAGCTCAGGTCCTGATCTCAGGGTCCTGGGATCGAGCCCCACATCCGGCTCCTTGCTCTGCAGGAAGCCTGCTTCTCCCTCTCGCTCTGCCCCTCACCTCCACTCATGCTTTCTCACTCTCAAATAAATAAAATCTTAAAAAAAAAAATAAAAAAGAAAAAGAACAGACCACTAAACCATGGCTTCAAATCCTGGGAAAGAGAGGCCCAGAATCCAGAATCAAGTACAGACCCAGACCTGTTCTCGGGGCAGAGCAGAAAGTCACCTTGGGAAGCAAGATAAAAAGCAAAAAGGATGACTCATAAGAAACGGAATGCCGACTTTCCTGAGCTCTAAATAGGGCTCGTGAAACTTGCGCTAAATATAACTCTGCCAGGAAATGGAGCTGCTCTGGGCAAAGCTGGACCTACAGGCAAGCCCTGGTGGCCCCACTTTGGGCTCTCTGCCCGTGACCCCTTTGTTTCCTCAGGATGTTCTGAACTTGGTGCTCCTGAACCTACAGCACGGTCCCTACACCTGGGAGGGCCATGATGAGGAAACACTCCCTCCTCCCTGGGACCCTGTCATTTGCATACTGCCAGAAAATTCTTTCTTACTCAGGAAAATACAGAATATGATCGTTTTCACTGCTTCTTTTCCTTCTGAAGATGAAACTGTTTACCAGCATTTGGCTCCTGGCTATCTCTGAAAACCTTATGATTTTAAAAAGATTAAATGGAAATAACAAAATGACTTACCGAGATTATCCACAGCATAATGGAAAAAACAACTGAACTTGATGTGCTTGTTGCAGACTATGTCAGGATTGGGAGTCCTTCCTTTTTCATATTCACTTAAGAAATCACTGGAATAGAAGAAAAAGATTTTCATTCCTAAGTGTGAGACAGTCCTCAAAAAAATAAATCTGTAGGGGCACCTGGGTGGCTCAACCAGTTGAGTGTCTAGCTCTGGATTTTGGCTCAGGTCGTGATCTTGGGGTCGTGGGACTGAGCCCCGTGTCTGACTCTGCGCTTGGCACGGAGTCTGCTTGAGATGCTCTCTCTCTCTCCTCCCCCTCCCTCCGCCCCTCCCCCCACCCAGCTTGAGCTCACATTCTTTCTCTCAAATAAATAAAATCTTTTTTTTTTAAAGATTTATTTATTTGACAGAGAGAGACACAGCGGGAGAGGGAACACAAGCAGGGGGAGTGGGAGAGGGAGAAGCAGGCTTCTGCGGAGCAGGGAGCTCGATGCGGGGCCTGATCCCAGGACCTTGGGATCATGACCTGAGCCAAAGGCAGACACTTAATGACTGAGCCACCCAGGCGCCCCTCAAATAAATAAAATCTTTAAAAATAAATCAGTTAAATTACTTGAAGTTAGCTTCTCCCCATCTTACCAGAGCTACAATTTTCTATAAAACGGGGGAGCTTCATCAGACAGCCATGTCAGTGTTTTCAAGCATTCGTGTAAAGCCAGCCGCCCTTTCCATCTGAATCTATGATAACGGACAAAGCCGAACAGAAAGCCAGGTATCACCTGCCATTCCGGGTCCACAGCCGTTCCGTCTCCCCAGAGGCTCACAGGGTGTGAGGGGAAGGGATGGGACGGACTCATTCAACTCCAGCTTCCCTTAACTCCACCAACAGAGGAAGGCTTGGGTGAAGAACATGCCGGAGTCAGAGCAGGAGCCCTATGATCCTGAGCCACCATTCTGGGGCTCTATTAGCTATTCCACAGTCTCAGCCTGGGGACCCAGGTCACTGGGCGAATAAATGTACCGGTACTGGTACTGATACTTTTCTAATGTGACTCCCATACTTCTAAGGACCAGCAACGTCTGGATGTTTTCAGGGCATCAGGCAGCCTAGCTGACCCAACTCTGCTCTAACGGGCTGGCTGACTGGACACAGGAGAAGGATGGTTAGGCAAGAAGTTCATGGCCTCAGAGTATTCCCTTTAGGAGGATTATGATGACTGTTCCAGGAGTTTAAAGTGAGTATTAAAGGGGAGTTTAAAGTATTAAAGTTGGAGGAGCAGGCGACTCTCGATCTTGGGGTAATGGGTTTGAGCTTTGAGTGGATGTAGAGATTACTTCAAAATAAAATCTTTAAAAAAAAAAGTGACAGAATGTATCTGGAGTATCTGTGATCATTTTTCATTGAACCTAAAGCACTACAATGGTGACAAAGAACAATGCTGACCAAGAGGGTCACATTATGAAGACAGACCAAGAATCGGCATAGGGTCATAGGTCACACATGTATCTCTAACTGGAGCAGGCAATGCCAAACTGTCCCTACCACCTCTTGGTCCTCCCAGGAAGGGAGAACAATTGTGTTACTCCACATTTAAACTTTTTAATTGTTAGAAAATTGTCAAGAGTTTCATTAAACCCTTGCTTTACTCTTTCTGTGTGTCTGCAGCCCCCAGAACGTTTTCT